AAGTGGGTCCCATTGTCCAGGCTGAGGCGCTGCAGTGACAGCTCGGCTCAGTCTCAGGGCCCAGGGCAGAGGCTGCTCCCTGGGGCCCAGGCCTGTCCCAGCCACAACAGGGCTGCTGGGAAGGGTGAGAAATGGCCCCAGCTACCCCCAGGGCTGAGCTCTGCCCCTCACGCTCTGATTGTCTCTCCCCAGCAAATGTGACTCTGAATCCAGACACAGCTCATCCCAGCCTCGTCCTGTCTGAGGATCAGAAACATGTGACATGTGGAAATACACACCAGCAACTGCCCAACAACCCTGAGAGATTTAACTTTTGGCCCTGTGTGCTGGGCCATGAGGGATTCACCTCCAGGAGACATTCTTGGGAGGTGGAGGTGGGGAATTCTGGTCTGTGGGGGTGGCCAGAGAGTCTGTGAGCAGGAAGGGATTGATCAGCCTTAGCCCTGAGGAGGGGATCTGGGCTGTGCTCTGGGGGGGTCAGTTGCAGGTTTATGCCTCCCCTATGACACTCCTTTCCTTGAGCCAGGCCCCCCACAGGATCCAGGTTTGTCTGGACTGTGACTGGGGGCAGGTGACATTTATCGATGCTGGTGCCGAGGCCCCGATATTCACTTTCCCGTTGGGCTGCCTCTCTGGGGAGAGAATCCGACTCTGGATCTGGGTGGGGTTGGGATCCCAGCTCAGCCTGTGTCCCTGAAATCAGCCTCTCTAGCCTCATACACCCTAGTCTCAGTGTCCCTGGAGGACTCCCCCATACCAATCCCTGTCTCCTCATCTCTGTGATGCCTGAAAGCTCCTCTCCCTCCCACCCTCCCTGCAGCCCCAGGGATGGGAGGGGTAAGGAGAAGATCCCACTGGGGCTGCAGAAGAAGCAGAGGTGGGGGCTGGGCAGGGGCAGATTTAACAGCAGGGATGGGGACAGGGAGAGATAGGGGCTGGATACGATTCAAACTAACAGCCGGGCAGGGAAACTTGCAGGGGTGGTGTTACTTGCAGAAATTTCTCTGTCCTTTCCACACTATAGGGACACACATCTCCCCAGTTCCTAAGGCTCAAAGTGTAACAAAGTGGGTTTTTGCCCATGAAAGCTTATGCTCCAAGAAATCTGTTAGTCTGTAAGATGCCACAGGACTCCTCGTTGTTTTTGCAGATATAGACTAACATGGCTACCCCTCTGATACTTGTTAATTTATACACCCACCCTTACCCAATTCCTAGGGCTCAGGGTGGAACTTCCTGTGGGTTTGCAGGATCTTTAGCCACTGAAAGAGCCTCACACAGTAATATTCTTATTTTCATTTATTGACAATTCCCAAGCAAACAGAGTTCACATTCTAAGCCCACAGTATATTGCTCACAGATCCTGATAAAGGCAGGCAGACTTCCCGTTGGCCAGGCAATATGTCTCTCTGGATTTAGCTGCTGCACATCACGGTCATGCAGGAGAATCCTGGCAGCCCTGGTCTTAGACTGTGTCTTGGAGGTGAGTAGTTCTTCCAGGTCTTCCCCCTTCTTCTTGATGATCTTTTCTGTTCTTGCTTCCCTTTGGTATTCTTCCAGCCTTTTGCTTCTTTCCTTCTGCTTCTATTACTTTTTAGACCCCAGTTTATATAGTGAAGCCTGAGTCCTGCTTAGCTATCCCTTAACCAATTAGTTTAGTATAATTTTACTAACCAATCGTAACAAAATTACCTAACCAATCCTACCTCACCACCTTAATAGATTTACACCTAGCAAAAGTAATTATACAACAGTTACAAACCACACAGAGATCATACAGACAAACAATAGAAAAGTGAGGATACCCCATAGAGTGTGGATTCTGCAACCTCAGCTATTGATAAGCATTTTTTTGCCAGACAGAATGGTGTTACTGAAGTTTTCTTTACCCATCTTGAGATCTGTCTCTTTATCTGGTGACAGTGTGGCGGCTATCAGGACAAAATCCCCTTCTCACAACCTGGTGTGACACTATTTTAATATAATTTAGATGGAATGTGAGTATGTGACTCCAGGCCTTACAGCTAATGGTTGCTGCTCTTCAGTCTGGCTGCAGAAGAAGGCTTTGGCTGCCAATATGACTTCAGGCCTACCACAGGCCTTCCAACATGGCTACAGAAAAGCCATATTATTACAGTCCCCTCCTTAATGATGCTTTTACCAAAGCTGTCATTACTATTTCAGGAGTCCAATACTCAGACTGGCTGAGCTTGGTCTTGCCTCCTGGGTATCATGAACAAGGGCCTCATTTGTCTTTGCATGCCAGCTTCCTGTATCCTTCGAACAGTTCTCTTCACCCAGCAAGCCAAAGTGATCATATTCCCTAATAAAGCCAACTGGATTCCAGTGATCACCACAATGGGGTGAACCATTATATTTAGCACACCTGTTGTAGAAGGTAACCAACCTAATCATGTTTCCCACCAGGAATGATGTCCTGCATCCACAATACTTTTAAGTTTGTGAATAATTTCTGCATTATTATGCTGCACTTCAACATGTATTTATTTTCCTGTCTGTGCAATATACTGTAAATGTGACTGTAACATAGGATGGATTAACAGTTTTCTTATCATAGTCATAGTCATACTTAAGGTTACAGGTGGTACATTGTGATACAGTTGTGGTTTAAATTTCAAGTAATTTACAGTCCATACAGGTACATAGTATTCAAAATCACAACTCTTAATCTTTGTAATGTTACAAACATCTATTAACTAAATGAGTCATAAAATACAATTCCTTATAATCTGTTACTACAGTTGGACAATGACTTCTCACACATACACATTCCTTTCCTGCATATACAACAGCTGATTTTTGTTCAGTGAATATATCAAACATACATCTTTGGGTTCCTTTGTCTTTTACATAGAAACATTCATCCCTTTCTTGTACATTTTGATCTTCACACACATCCCAAATTGTCATGGGGCACGCATTTAAACATGTCAATGGTTTTCCATTGTTGGTTTTCCTTATATGCCCAGGAATGATGATCAGTGGAATACATAATCAAATTTTTTGTGAGTTGTATTTCCATAGGCACCACTGGATAAATATCAATAGTTAGGCTAGGGCGTACAATTACTACAAATGCTTTTAAAACTATTTGATCTTTGTTTAGGGTAAAATTTACCAACTTCCACCAAGCGATTAATTGTCTCTCCCCTTCTGTAACATTTTCCCACAACAGTTTTCTTATTTCCAAAGGCAAATTTCCTTGCATACCTTCCCAGATTATTTGAATGACCAATTGCTGACTTATTTCCTGAGCCTGAGTACAGGCTAATGCTAGAGATACATTTTCTTGTATTGATCCCATAGTTCCTGCTAACAATAACAAATCCTTTTCCCCTTGCTGTTGTCATACTGTCAATATTCTAGAAAATAATTGTTGTCCCATTCCTAATTTTGATAAGGATGCACTGACAGGCTTTCCCAGCTGTTAGCCGATGGTTAGGGCAGTGTGTGTGCTATACACCCGAGACTTTAACTGCTGAGACCGGGGTTCCTTGCAGCGGGCAACCTGGAGGAGGTTGACGAGTGCCCCAATTTTGCCAACTGATGGTTAGGGCAGTGAGTGGTGTGTGTGTGTATACTATACACTTGAGACTTTAATTGCTGAGACCGGGGTTTCTTGCAAGCAAAATTGTTTAAGATGGGGCAGTCTGTCTGGCTACACCAGCTCTTGTATTTCATCTGTCACATAACTCAATTTGTTTTCCAATACTGCTATGTTAGCGGCATCCAGTACTCCAACTCCTAATTCAGTTCCACCCAAAACAGTATCCAATATACCTCTGGGGGTGGTTCTTCTGATGGGTTTGTCAATATACCATAATTGTAGCCAAACTGCCAATCCCTTATGGAATGTCTGTACGTATGGGGCGCATTGAGGTATGACCTTGGACACATTTAACCCAGTAAGGTCCAGCTCAATTTGCTTTAGAGATTGTATTGGTGATATGACTTACTCTCCGTGATCCAGTTTTACCACATATGGACCGTTCAGCGGGTGTCGTCTTGGTTTTTTGCATATCAGACTCAGTGGCAATTATTTTAAAATGTAATATTACCCAGAGGCTTTGCAATACATATTCACCTACTTCAGCAGGGATGTCAAGGAAAACTAATTAGACACTGATATTGTAATTGAACTTTAGGTTGCTTTTCAGCACAATTACCGCCCTGTGTTTCTTTAATCCATTCTGGGGGTCCCAGTTCTCCTGGGTATCCACCTGCCACAGTGTGTTAGTGCAGTTTCCTGATATTTGCAGTAGTTTCCCTGATGGACTAGTCAGGGTGCTGGGCCTTGATTCCCAGATTTGAAGCAAGTGAAACCCTATTAGTATCCTAATGTCAGTGTCCCCTCCTGGCTGCCTTGCAAACCCCATAACCTTCAGTATCCCATATTTTGGAGAGAACATTGGGATCCTAAGTGAATCGACTTCTTGTTTCTGAGTGAGCTTAAGGCAGTCAATGTTATATATTGTGGTCCCATACAATTCCCCTCCATTGTGTTAGAGTATCCAGTCATTAATGACAACTTAGATTGTGATGGGGCTTCTGGTGACAGCCCACCAGTTATGTTATGGTAACGGGTGAGGAACTGGATAAGGGTGGGCATGTAAATTAACATTCCTTGAGCCCTAGGAACTGGGGTAAAGGTGTGTGTCCCTATAGCGTGGAAGGGTTAGAGAAATTTGTGCAGGTAACAAATTTGGTGGACAATGTGGGTATGTGACTCCAGGGCTTACATTTAACAGCTGCTGTTTTCTTCAGTCTGGCTACAGAAGGTGGCTTTGGTTCAGGCCTAGCACAGGCCTTCCAACATGGCTACAGAAAAGCCATATTGTTAAAGACGCATTGGAGAGGGTCCAGAAGAGGGCAACCAAAATGATTAGGGGACTGGAGCACATGACCTATAAGGAGAGACTGAGGGATTTGGGTTTGTTAAGGCTGCAGAAGTCAGTCTCAGGGCCCAGGGCAGAGGCTGCTCCCTGGGGCCCAGGCCTGTCCCAGCCACAACAGGGCTGCTGGGAAGGGTGAGAAATGGCCCCAGCTACCCCCAGGGCTGAGCTCTGCCCCTCACGCTCTGATTGTCTCTCCCCAGCAAATGTGACTCTGAATCCAGACACAGCTCATCCCAGCCTCGTCCTGTCTGAGGATCAGAAACATGTGACATGTGGAAATACACACCAGCAACTGCCCAACAACCCTGAGAGATTTAACTTTTGGCCCTGTGTGCTGGGCCATGAGGGATTCACCTCCAGGAGACATTCTTGGGAGGTGGGGGTGGGGAATTCTGGTCTGTGGGGGTGGCCAGAGAGTCTGTGAGCAGGAAGGGATTGATCAGCCTTAGCCCTGAGGAGGGGATCTGGGCTGTGCTCTGGGGGGGTCAGTTGCAGGTTTATGCCTCCCCTATGACACTCCTTTCCTTGAGCCAGGCCCCCCACAGGATCCAGGTTTGTCTGGACTGTGACTGGGGGCAGGTGACATTTATCGATGCTGGTGCCGAGGCCCCGATATTCACTTTCCCGTTGGGCTGCCTCTGCCTCTCTGGGGAGAGAATCCGACCCTGGATCTGGGTGGGGTTGGGATCCCAGCTCAGCCTGTGTCCCTGAAATCAGCCTCTCTAGCCTCATACACCCTAGTCTCAGTGTCCCTGGAGGACTCCCCCATACCAATCCCTGTCTCCTCATCTCTGTGATGCCTGAAAGCTCCTCTCCCTCCCACCCTCCCTGCAGCCCCAGGGATGGGAGGGGTAAGGAGAAGATCCCACTGGGGCTGCAGAAGAAGCAGAGGTGGGGGCTGGGCAGGGGCAGATTTAACAGCAGGGATGGGGACAGGGAGAGATAGGGGCTGGATACGATTCAAACTAACAGCCGGGCAGGGAAACTTGCAGGGGTGGTGTTACTTGCAGAAATTTCTCTGTCCTTTCCACACTATAGGGACACACATCTCCCCAGTTCCTAAGGCTCAAAGTGTAACAAAGTGGGTTTTTGCCCATGAAAGCTTATGCTCCAAGAAATCTGTTAGTCTGTAAGATGCCACAGGACTCCTCGTTGTTTTTGCAGATATAGACTAACATGGCTACCCCTCTGATACTTGTTAATTTATACACCCACCCTTACCCAATTCCTAGGGCTCAGGGTGGAACTTCCTGTGGGTTTGCAGGATCTTTAGCCACTGAAAGAGCCTCACACAGTAATATTCTTATTTTCATTTATTGACAATTCCCAAGCAAACAGAGTTCACATTCTAAGCCCACAGTATATTGCTCACAGATCCTGATAAAGGCAGGCAGACTTCCCGTTGGCCAGGCAATATGTCTCTCTGGATTTAGCTGCTGCACATCACGGTCATGCAGGAGAATCCTGGCAGCCCTGGTCTTAGACTGTGTCTTGGAGGTGAGTAGTTCTTCCAGGTCTTCCCCCTTCTTCTTGATGATCTTTTCTGTTCTTGCTTCCCTTTGGTATTCTTCCAGCCTTTTGCTTCTTTCCTTCTGCTTCTATTACTTTTTAGACCCCAGTTTATATAGTGAAGCCTGAGTCCTGCTTAGCTATCCCTTAACCAATTAGTTTAGTATAATTTTACTAACCAATCGTAACAAAATTACCTAACCAATCCTACCTCACCACCTTAATAGATTTACACCTAGCAAAAGTAATTATACAACAGTTACAAACCACACAGAGATCATACAGACAAACAATAGAAAAGTGAGGATACCCCATAGAGTGTGGATTCTGCAACCTCAGCTATTGATAAGCATTTTTTTGCCAGACAGAATGGTGTTACTGAAGTTTTCTTTACCCATCTTGAGATCTGTCTCTTTATCTGGTGACAGTGTGGCGGCTATCAGGACAAAATCCCCTTCTCACAACCTGGTGTGACACTATTTTAATATAATTTAGATGGAATGTGAGTATGTGACTCCAGGCCTTACAGCTAATGGTTGCTGCTCTTCAGTCTGGCTGCAGAAGAAGGCTTTGGCTGCCAATATGACTTCAGGCCTACCACAGGCCTTCCAACATGGCTACAGAAAAGCCATATTATTACAGTCCCCTCCTTAATGATGCTTTTACCAAAGCTGTCATTACTATTTCAGGAGTCCAATACTCAGACTGGCTGAGCTTGGTCTTGCCTCCTGGTTAATATTAACAAGGGCCTCATTTGACTTTACATGCCAGCTTCCTGTATTCTTCAAACAGTTCTCTTCACCCAGCAAACCAAAGTGATCATACTCACTAACAAAGCCAATTGGATTCCAGTGATCACCACAATGGGGTGAACCATTATATTTAGCACACCTGTTGTAGAAGGTAACCAACCTAATCATGTTTCCCACCAGGAATGATGTCCTGCATCCACAATACTTTTAAGTTTGTGAATAATTTCTGCATTATTATGCTGCACTTCAACATGTATTTATTTTCCTGTCTGTGCAATATACTGTAAATGTGACTGTAACATAGGATGGATTAACAGTTTTCTTATCATAGTCATAGTCATACTTAAGGTTACAGGTGGTACATTGTGATACAGTTGTGGTTTAAATTTCAAGTAATTTACAGTCCATACAGGTACATAGTATTCAAAATCACAACTCTTAATCTTTGTAATGTTACAAACATCTATTAACTAAATGAGTCATAAAATACAATTCCTTATCATCTATTACTACAATTGGAAAATGACTTCTCGCACATACACATCCTTTTCCTGCATATACAACAGCTGACTTTTGTTCAGTGAATATGTCAAACATACATCTCCAGGTTCCTTTGTCTTTTACATAGAATCATTCATCTCTTTCTTGTAAATTTTGATCCTCACCCACATATCCCGAATTGTCATGGGTCACACATTGAAACATGTCAATGGTTTTCCATTGTAGGTTTTCCTTATACACCCAGGAATGATGATCAGTGGAATACATAATAATTTTTTTTGTGAGCTGTATTCCCATAGGCGCCACTGAATAGATATCAATAGTTAGGCTAGGGTATACAGTTACTACATATGCTTTTAAAACCATTTGATCTTTGTTTAGGGTGAAATTTACCAACTTCCACCATGCCCTTAATTGTCTCTCCCCTTCTGTAACATTTTCTCATGACAGTTTTCTTATTTCCAAAGGCAAATTTCCTTGTATACCTTCCTGGATTATTTGAATGACCAATTGCTGATGGATTTCCTGAGCCTGTTTATAGGCCAACCAAGGGACACATTTTCTTGTATTGATCACATAGTTCCTGCTAACAGCAACAAATTATTTTCCCCTTGCTGTTGCCATAGTGGCAATATTCTAGAAAATAATTGTTGTCCCATTCCTAATTTTTATAAGGATGCACTGACAGGCTTTCCCAGCTCTTTTATTTCACCTGTCACATAACTCAGTGGCTACATCTACACTGGCATGATTTTCCAGAAATGCTTTTAACAGAAAAGTTTTCCGTTAAAAGCATTTTTGGAAAAGCACGTCTAAATTGGCAGGACGCTTTTCCGGAAAAGCACTTTTTCTGGAAAGGCGTCCATGGCCAATCTAGACGCGCTTTTCCGCAAAAAAGCCCCGATCGCCATTTTCGCAATTGGGGCTTTTTTGCGGAAAACAGAACTATGCTGTCTACACTGGCCCTTTCGGGCAAAAGTCTTTCAGAAAAAGACTTTTGCCCAAACGGGAGCAGCATAGTTTTTCCGGAAAAGCACTGATGATTTTACATTAGATCAGCAGTGATTTTCCGGAAATTCAAGCGGCCAGTGTAGACAGCTGGCAATTTTTTCGGAAAAATCAGATGATTTTCCGGAAAAACTTGCCAGTGTACACACAGCCAGTTTGTTTGCCAATACCTCTATTTTAGTGGCATCCAGTACTCCAACTCCTAACCCAGTTCCATCCAAAACAGCATCCAATACACCTCTGGTGATATGACTTGCTCTCTGTGATCCAGTTTTACCACATGTGGACTGTTCAATTGATGTCTTCTTGGTTTTTGCATATCAGACTCAGTGGCAATTATTTTAAAATGTAATTTTACCCAGAGGCCTTGTAATATATATTCACCTACTTCCATGGGGATGCCAAGAAAACTAATCAGACACTGATATTGTAACTGAACGTTAGGCTGCCTTTTAGCACAATTACTGCCCCGTGTTTCTTTAATCCATTTTGGGGGTCCCAGTTCTCCAATGTCCTGGGTATCCACCTGCCACGGTGTGTTAGTGCAGTTTCCTGATATTTGCAATTGTTTCCCTAAGAGGCTAGTCAGGGTGCTGGGCCTTCGTTCCTAGATTTGAAGCAAATGAGGTTCATTAAACCCCATTAGCATCCTAATGTCAGTGTCCCCTCCTGGATGCCATGCAAGCCCCATAACCTTCAGTATCCCACATTTTGGAGAGAATACAGGGATCCTAAGTGGACTGATGATTTCTATCTGAGTGAGAACCAAAACTGTGGTTTTTGGTCCCATACAATTTCCTTCCATAGTGTTAGAGTATCCAGTCATTAATGACAACTTAGATTGTAATGGGGCTTCTGGTGACAGCGTGCCAGTTATGTTATGGTAATGAGTGAATGCCTTTTCCCAGCACAAGCAACAGGTGGTGTGATTGAACAGTATAGGATTGATCCAGAAGTGTGCCATTACCCAGAAATTATTTTTCTATACATTTACTACATGGATGTCAACAGACCAAAGAATAGGGTTCACTGTCAGACAAACAACATGGAACATAAAACACACAGGCTGTGTCTACACTGCACCCCTTTTCTGGAAAAGAGATGCAGTGTAGACACAGCCACAGAGACACACAGTCACAACAACAGCTTCTTCATAACAGTGCCCAGGTCACTTGTGTTCTTCTGCTGGCGTCAGTCTTTTAGAACTCTGAAAGACAAGACAGACATTTTTCTACCCCCCTGTGTGGGGCTAGTTACAGGTTACTGCTTGGAGTCCCCTTTCCATGGTTTGAGCTGGGAAGAATGGAACCATTTTAACTTTGGCATGTTTAGCCTCTTTGACCAGATTTCTACCTGGTACGCTGTTGGGCTGGCCTTTTCCACAATGTACACTGGGCCTTCCCACTTCATTCCCAAAGAGTGATCTTGTGCTGACAATTTCAGATACCGCACCTAATCTCCAAGGGTATGTCTACACTACAATGTTAGTTCGAACTAACGGACGTTAGTTCAAACTAACATTCATA